GCAGGATCGACATGGGGCTTCTAAAGCCAATGAATATCATGTTGGTGATGAATTGGTCGAGAGTTCAGGTGAGGCATACCTACATGAAGGATTTTTAGCAGACTGGAGGCCTGGCATGCCAACCCTCTTTTATTCTACATCTATGCACTCCTTTGACAAGGCAAAGGATGTTCCCGGTGATCGACATGAGTCAGTACAAACATGTATAGTTGAAGGATCTAAAAATTCTGAACTTGGTGGTGCCCAAATTCTGACATGTACGCAGAGGCTTGCACCTTCATTCATTCCTCTGTACCACCACACATCTGGTACAGCACCCGGTGCCTCAAAAGCATCGATAATTACGCGGCCATATCGTTCTCGTAAACTATTCAACAGAAGTGTTGTGAGACTAGCCCCTGATTTGCCTCCCCTTAACCTTCCATCTTCTGTCCGTGTTATCTCACAATCGGTTTTTGCGAAGAATCAGTCTGAAACATCCTCCAAAACTTGTATCATTAAAGGTGGCATGTCGGATGTTTCTAGGAGGGGAATTTTGGGTATTGAAACTCCTTGCTTTTCAGCTGACGGAGATAACAACGTTCCTCCTAACGAGAAAGTGGTAGATTTGCAGGAAGATGTGCCTGCAGAGAGCTCCTCTGGGATGGGCGAGCGGAGCAATGACTCAGATCTTCAAATGCATCCTTTATTGTTCCGGACCCCTGAGCATGGACAGATTACATGTTACCCAGCAAGCAGAGACCCAGGGGGTTCTAGTTTTAGTTTCTTTCCTGACAATCGACCTCAACTGCTTAGTCTTTTCAACAGTCCAAAGCAAATCAATCACTCAGCTGATCAATTGCACAAAAATTCATCACCAAACGAACATGAGACAGCACAGGGCGACAGCTGTTTTCATCCTCTTCTTCAAAGAACTGAGCATGAAACGAGTTATCTTATTAGTAGACGTGGGAACTTAGACCCAGGCATTGGTAAGAAAGACAAATTATGTCAACTTCAGGATTCTTCTTGTGCTGTTGAGAAGACTTTGATCCCTGGTCGTAATGATGTCAGTTTGAAACCTTTTAGTTCTAGCAAACATAGTAAAAATGTGAACTTAGATATCTATCTAAGTTCGAGCTCTTCTAAGGTAAACAATTGTGGTAGGGTCTCAGCAGCAAATATTTCAGAAGCTCCAGACATCTGCATGACTCAATGTAATGATGGCTCTGAAGTGCCTGGATCAACTGCACCAAGTGATACTATAAGTAGATGCATTGACGAGATGGCTGATCAATCGAATCTAGGTATTGTGATGGAGCAGGAGGAATTAAGCGACTCTGACGAAGAGATGATGGAAGAAGAACATGTTGAGTTTGAGTGTGAAGAGATGGCTGATTCTGAAGGAGAAGAAGGCTCAGAATGCGAAGAAACAATTGAAATGCAAGATAAGGTAAGTTGTTGTTCTTTTGTCAGTTATGTACAATATACTCTAGAGAGCTGAGCTATTTTTTCGTTAGTTTCGTTTGTCTCAACTTAGGCTATTGTGACAAGAGGATTCAAGTATATATGGATCCTAATTTCCAGTTGTCCTCTTTGTTGTGTAGTTATGTGGCTTGTGGATTATCTTGGTGATGCATTAACTTTTCCATCTACAGGATAACAGAAGCTCTGTGGTAGGAATAGCTTCAACAGATGTAGATTCTGGCAAAGAACTAGGCAAGGATTCTCCAAACAGTCCTTGGTTGAGTCTGGATCCGAGTAGCCGTCGCTTAAGCAGTAATGTTAAGGACATAGAGAAGATAGAGGTAGAAAATGAAACGACTATGTCACAATTGGGTCCTAGTAGATCACGCAAAAAAGGGACACCAGTGAAGAGCAGAGATGCAGAATTAAAGGAAGAAGCAGGTGTTGCTCGGTTGAGACTGGGTCCTGTCGCCCTCCCTCCAATGAAGAAACCCAGGATTTGTGGTGGGCAGGCGGAAACAAGTCCAAGTACTGAGACAACCTGAGAAACTTCTTGACCCAGCAACAAATGATTAGCTCTTTTCCACTCCTAATTACTTACTGGTTCAGAGAGATCATATCATGGCCAATCTGGAGAGCTGTGTTCTTTGTGTATACCCTCTTGGAGGTTATAGCACCCATGGAGTTTGCCAGGAACGAGGTTTGGTCACTTCCATTAGAAGCGTGAATATGACGCAGGGTGCAGAGATGAATAGTGCATGATGCAGAAGGAAAAGATTCGGCTTGGGCAGATTCAGGTCAGCCATTTCTTTTTTGAATCTTATTGCTTAGGGGATTGTTACTACTTACTAATTGGAGGCCTGAGACCGATTCCATCTTTTTGCATATAATAAAGGAAACATTTTTATTGGCAGGGAAGGATAATTATTATAGAGTGGTCAGGAAGAGAAGAATAAGCTGGAAAGGGAAGAAATGGTGGAATCCGGCCGCTTCTGGTAATTTGACATATGAGCAATGCTCCAGTGAGCTGGGGGATGATTCGAGCTTACCAGTAGAGTGATGGAGACTCGTGTTAATTAGAAGAGTAAGTCGAAAATGGGAGATTTCGATTTCTGGTTATGGAGGCTTCCAATTGTCTTGCTGTATTATTCAGGTTTTAGCAAAAAAAAAAGAGAAGTGAATGTCAAAATGTAATTTAAGGACCATTATGTAATGTTAATTTTTTGGTCAAAGAGTTGGCCTGATTTGTATGCAAAAAAGATGGACTACATAAAAAGGATTACACTTTACTTGATGGCAACATTACAAACACTTGTGCATATAAGAGTTTATAACACAAAATGGAAGTTTGAAAAAATTCTTATTTTGTGACTTTGGGTTTATCCAATACAAGCATATACAGATTACAGAAAGTTAAATCAGTATAAGTTTGTATATGCAACAAAATTGTGCTTATGAAAGATACAACAAAATTGTACACTGCAACTATCTATGCGCTAGATCTTCTTTTCCCATCAGACCTGCTAACTTTCCCAAAGCAAATCAACAAAATGGCTTTAGAGTTGCTGTTACCTAACTTTGAAGTTTGTTCAATTTCCCATCATAATCATATCGATGACCTTGCTTATACTGTCATAAGCATCTGCGCAGACCGCTTTACTCATGAACTGCTTTGATGAGTTCAGCTGATAAGCTTGTGTAGTGATCTCTAAGCGTCTCATCATATATGCGTTCACTTGGCATAAACCCATCTTCTTTCATTCTTGTACACAGCTTGTCCGCTTCACGCCGTAGGCCATTCCTACACAAGCCCGATATCATTGTAATGTATGCTATAGCATCAAGCTTCACTCCTTTGCGAGTGAGGCTACGAAATAAACACCAAGCCTCTTTCACCTTATCATTTCTACACATCCCTTGAATGATGATATTATATGTAATAATATCAACATCCATTTGATTCTTCTGCAGATCCTCTACCATCACCAATGCTTTCTCTATCTTCCCGTTATTACATAGACAATCTAACAAGATGTTGTAGGTAACAATATCAGGAGGCACACCACAATCAACCATCCGATTGAAAACCTTTTGGGCAACATTAAGTTTGCCCGCTTGACAATAACCGTGGATAAGCGTGTTGTAAGTGAATGCATCGCCAACCAATCCTTGATGAGTCATCTCACAAAAGAGTTTCATACCATCTTCTACCCTCTTAGACTTACAAAATCCTGTTATGAGAGTGTTATAGGTCACAACATCCGGGAAGCAACCCTTGCTTACCATCAGATCAAACATATGTTTGGCGTCACCTAAGCGACCTTGAATGCAAAACCCATTGATGAGTGAATTGTAAGTGAGAATATTAGGATGTACAGATCTTCGGATCATCTCCTTGTACAAGTTTTTAGCTTCTAAAAGGTTGCCCTCTTTCACAAAAGTATCGATCAGCGCAGTGAAAAATATCACATTAGGATCGATTTTCCTCTTCACCATATCTCTGAGAAGTCGAGCTGCGTCGGTCCATCTACCAGAGTTACAAAGGCCACTTATAAGAGTGTTGTAAGTAACAGCATCCGCTACGATTCCTTTCTTCTCCATCCCATAAAAAATCTCGAGGGCGTTATTCAAATCTCTGTTCTTGCAAAGACCATTAATGACAGTGTTGTAGATGACAACATTAGGTTCCAATCCCAATTCCGCCATTGAATCGACAAGAGAAACAGCCTCCTGAAATCTATTCCCTTGACAGAAACCGTTGAGGAGAGAGCCAAGAGTGACGATGCTGGGCTGAAACCCAAGTTTCATCATCTTTCCAAGAAGAGCAAGAGCAAGAGAGAATCGAGAGCATCGGCAGAAACAATGAATCAAAATGGTGAAGCTATAAAGATCGTGTGAGATGCCCAAATTCTCCATCTTGTGGAAGAGATAGATGACAATGTCAAACTTGTTCATCTTAGCAATGGCAGTCAAAACTCGAGTGAAATCAACAATGCTAGGAATGGGACGAGACTGAAGCATCTCACAGAACAAACCAAATGCATCATCAAACTTTATACAGTGAAGCTCACTTCTCAATCTCTCTCGGTAATGATGATGATGATGATGATGATGATGATGACTCGCACCGGAAAAAGATCGAGACTCGGGATTGTTACCTCTCTCCAGAAGAAGCAAATGCCGACGAACAAACCCCTTCACCGATGACGAAGACGCTATCGGAATTAATCTCTGCATCCAAAATGGATTCGACTAGCTTCCTTCCCAAATCTCTCTATCTGCGCCGAACCCTACCAACGACGACCAGAGAGTTGTGTCTGAATAATAATAATAAAGGTCTCCACTCTCCATTATTGAACGACGGCGTTTTGGACAAATTATGATTGTGCCTAATGACACCTGATTATCTATCTAAAATTCTATTATGGACTTTAAATTGTCTTCAAAGTCCAATCAGATTACTGTTTATAAATTGAGATGGTTTCAAAATTTCCATTACTCAAGAGAGTGAATTTACAACATAGTAAAATTCAATTTCATTGCATACAAGAGAATTACAACACAAAGTGCTTAGTTAGATTTCAAATTAATGAATTTAGTTAATACTATTATACAAGCATCCACAACTCTAAATCAGTTCAAGTATGTACAGTCACCAGTACCAGACACTTCAAATTTGTCCTGACCAAAACCAATCTACACAGTCCCTCATATGACTGCAACAAAACAATGAAGCCTAGCTCAGAGTCCCAAAGAAACACATGACTGGACTCTGATCATATAACATTAGCTGCGAAGGCTTATTATCTCCTTATTACTTGTTCCATGCTCTCCTAGATGGCCATCTTCTGCTTGGCATATGATCCCATCCTCTTTCATTCTTCTAAACAGCTCATCCGCTTCACGCCGTGGCCCATTCTTACATAAACCTAGTATCATTATAGTGTATGTTCTAGCATCTGGCTTCACTCCTTCGACAGGGAGTCTACAAAATAACTCCCAAGCTTCTTCCACTTTATCCGCCTTGCACAACCCGTGAATCATAATGTTATATGCAACAATGCCAAGATACTTTTCACCACTTCTCATATCATTGAATTTCACCATTGCGCTTCCAATCTCCCCATTAACACAAAGACCATGTAACAGAATGCAGTGGGTTATGATATCAGGAGTCACGCCACAAGAAACCATCCAGCTGAAGATGTCTTTGGCAACTCTAAGTTTACCCACCTGACAATAACCGTGGATAAGTGTGTTGTAAGTGAATGTGTCGCCAACCAATCCTTCACGATACATCCTTTGGAAGAGTTTCATCCCGTCTTCTACCCTCCTAGACTTACAGAATCCATTTATGAGCGTGTTATATGTCACCACGTTTGGGAAGCAACCCTTGCTTGCCATCAAATCAAATGTTTTCTTGGCGTGATATAAACGACCGTGCATGCAAAGCCCGTTGATAAGTGAATTGTAAGTGACAGTATTAGGACCGATAGAGCTTTGGAGCATCTGCTTGTACAATTCTTGAGCCTCGTCAAGATTGCCTTGTTTCACAAAAGCATCGATCAATGCGGTGAAAGTGAAAACATCAGGGTTTATTCTCCTCTTCGTCATATCTCTCAGTATTCGAGCAGCTTGGCGCCATTCACCAGAATAACAAAGGCCTGTCAAGAGAGTGTTGTAGGTAACAAGATCGGCTGCGAGTCGTCCTTTCTTCTCCATCTCGTTGAGAAGCTCCAAGGCAATATTCACATCACCGTTCTTGCAGAGGCAATCAATTAGAGTGTTGTAGACAACAACATTAGGCTCATATCCCGATTTCACCATTGAAGCAACGAGAGAGAAGGCGTCGTGAATTCTATTGCGGAGACAGAATCCATGGAGCAGAGAGCCAAAAGTGACAATGCTGGGATCATAACCAAGTTTCATCATCTTCCCAAGAATAGACAGAGCAAGAGAGAGACGAGAGCATCGGCAGAAACAATGAATCAAAATGGTGAAACTATAGAGATCGTGTGAAATGCCAAAGAGTTCCATCTGCTGGGAGAAATAGATAACAGTCTCATATCTTCTCAAATTGGCAATCGCAGTAAGTAATCTAGTGAAATCAACAACGGAAGGTAAGGGTTGAGACTGAACCATCTCCAAGAACAAATCAAGCGCATCTTCGAACCTGATAGAGTGAAGAAACCCAGTTCTCAGTTTCTCTCGGTAACCAGAATAAGCTCGAGCAGAAGCTCCTCCTCCAGAGCTAGGGTAAGCAGCTTTCTTCAGAAATCCCTTCGCCGTCACAATCAATCTCCGCATCCGGAGAAGAAGAAGAAGATGGTTAAACGGCACCGTTTGGGTTAATGGGTCTACTTAATAAATTAATTAGGAGGAGTGAATAAACAAATTTTGAATTTGCTCGGAAGCATCATCTATCAATGGAGGAGAGCGGCAACAATGGCGGCGTGAGCGTTATTTCTCGAGTGAAGCTCGATCAGGTTGCCACATGGGTTGTCTCCGCCTTCTTTACCTCTCTTGAACGCTGCGCTTGCCTCAATCTCGACGACGATGACTCCGAAGACGAGGCTAAGGATCTTCCTCTCCAAGGAATGGGTTTCTTCATTGCTATATAATAAATCTGTTGATGGTTTTGTAACGAATATATTTTTATTGATGATGAGAAAGGAACTTTGGATGCTTTTGATCCTAATTATCTGCATTACGTCTTCTTCTCTGTGTTTCTTGATCAAGAACTTAAAAAGCTTAGGCATGTATGTATCTCCCAAATCGTTTCTAGATGATAATCTTGAAATTCCAAAACTAGTCACTCACCTTTTTGTGCATATAAACATAGTTAATAGTTTCCAAGATTGAAATAAACAGCCTCTCATTACTTCATATTTCCCAATTGCTCTAAGAAATCAAGATGGTTATGCATAGAAATGCCTAATGTTACTAGTGTGTTTTCTTGATCCTGAACTTGAATTCTCATCATTTATATATTAGCTTAGGCGGCATGAATCTAAAATTGTTTCAAGATTATGAACTTGACTACTCACCATTCATATACTTTTTGTACATATATATAGTTGATAGTTTCCAAGATTGGGACTGAGACTTGGAGCATAAAGAATCAGTCCCTGAATCCTTCATAGTGCTAAAGCCTAAGAAAACAAGATAGCTACGCATACAAATGCCTAAGTCGTACACCATCAATCGTATCATCATCAGGGTAATTTGTCCTCCATGGGTTTCATAATGCTGAGGTTTGTATAGCAGCATCTGCATTGACAATGTTTGGCGCCTTCTGTGTGACTTCTCCGTCAAAGCAATGTGTGGTCTTCTTGTGGAAAAGGAATGTAGTTTCTTCCTTATACATTACCAATGCAGTGTTAGGATGAGAAAGAAGAGATTAATCACGAGGCTCTCTCCAACAGAGCAGCATGACCAGGCATCGCCTAATTATGTATAGTCTCGATCTCGTCTCCTTCAAGGACCGATTTGGAGTCAGCTTGTTGATGTTCTTCACTTGCTTATGCAAATCCTTGTTTGACCCCATCAACTTCTATGTGCCCATCAAAAAGCAACTTTTCTTTCCCCCTTTATTATAATAGTTGGTTCAGAGTATGTCTTCTCTGAGTCATTAAGATGAATGTGAAACAAGAGACTGAGGCAAAGACTTCAAACTAGGATTTGATTGGTTTTGTGCAATTCAGGGTTTTTATTTTTGTCGTGCTGCATATTACTACTCTATTAGGATCAGTCTCTTCAAACCAACCGTCCAGTGTAACTGTCTTCTGCCAAATACAACCGTTACTTTTACTCATTTTTCTGTTTCTCCTCAAAATGACAAACTTCTTCAATTGTCAGTTTCTTCACCTTACACTTGTCCATTGATTCCACCAATTTAATTATGTAACTCTTGCTCTCTTTTTTTTTTTTTTTACTTCTCAAGTCAATATGATACCTTGATTTTAGGCATGCCTTGGAAAATGAATCATCATAAACTCATTAAAACAACAAAATTGGCCCTGATCACTTTCTTGACTTTCTTTAGTTTGGGTAGAAATTTTGATCCCTTGAAATTCATAATTAAATTAGTCATTAAAGATCTTCGATAATGTTTGAAGTATGATTTTTTTGAATTTAGGAGGTTGAATCTGACTAGGACTTTAACGCGGAGACGTTTCCATGTAAATCCATAGCTCATGAATCTCGTGGCTGTGCCTTGATCAATGAAACTCGTGCTTCCTTATTTTAATTGTGATTAATATTATAAACTAAAAGCAAGATACGATCTTGTATTAAGACGTAAGGGATCTACACTGATACATCACACTATCCAAAATTCAAAAATGTTTGATTAAAGAAATCATTTTAAAAACTTTATAGGATAATCGCCCGCCACAAGTTACAAGTCTATTATTATATATGTAGTCAACGTGTAAACCACAAAGTTACGATAATATTCACTCGACCGGGTTGGAGATTTCCTGCTTGAGACTAGATTCTTTAAAGAAAAAAAAATTGACGTCGGTCAACAAATATTAAAATCTAACCATTCATGAAAGAAAAAGAGTATCAAACTGTCTACAAAAGAGAGAATCAAGTAGCCACTCACAAAAATCTCAGACTGTATGGACCATCCATATTATAGCTTGAATATATGTAATAGTTCTCCAAAGACTCTACTAATTATAAAACAAAGAATATGATCATTGGTTAATAAAAATGGTAGCAATAGAAAAAGGATGTGACCAACTCTCTCTTGGCAAGTTGGTATCCGATTACACAACCTAACCTAACCCGTTTTAACATAAAGCAAAGATTCCAACATTGTCAAGGTCGTTCCAATTCCAAAGGTGGAGGAGTCTCTTTTCTTAATTCCCATTAATCATAAAGTTTTATAATGTATATTCAACGTCTCTCACCCAACGAGCATATATATTTTATAATGTGGGATCCTTGAAAGAGACAACGCCTCCCAAGGTGGAGGAGTTTATTTATTCACAAACACTTCATCAATTTTGAGTTTATCTCTACGTCCCTTCTACCATTCCTATTATATATATCCTGCAAAATTTGATTAGTTATTTATTCTTGGAGGTTGGACCACCTTTTTCTTTAATAGAGAAGAGGAAATTAGTTTTCGATCCATATAAACTTTTCATAATTTAAGACCAATCATTGAAATTTATTTATGATAGATTCACAAAACGTAAATCATTGTGTTGTATAAGCAACGCGGTATCTAAATTCGAATTTAGGGAAACGATAGCAATCTTTGGTGAATGATCAAAACACCTTTGGGTAAAATACATTATAATATGTCTTCCATAGCCTAATTCCTTTTCCATTAATTCCTTTTGGCAAATTCTTCTATAGCTAGATAACATGATGCAAATAACCTGATAACTTACTTAGATTCATGAATGCTTTATCAAAAAAATTGTTTTACTTTAGATTCTATATAATTTCTGTGCAGAGTATTATTCTTATCCGGTCCTGTTGATGAGAATTCCTAAAATGAATCCTTTTATTGAGTTTGAGGTGAGATAATTTATAACTATGAGCCAATTGTTTAATACTTATTAAATGGATCATTCTAGAGCTGCAAATAAGACACATGTATATAGTTTGGAGTTGAAACATTTTATAAAATAAAAATATATTTTATAAATAAAATTTAGTGGAATTGTTAGTGGGTAGTAGTTGGATTTGGGTAAGATTACTTTATGATGATTTTCATATTTAGGCTTGAAGATCTTCTTCTCATCCATTGACGGATTGGATCCTCCAAGAACAGAGAGACCAATTAGCTTACTCTATTGTGCCATTCTCCACCGTATCTTTTGCTTCAACCACTTACAATTTTACAAAGGAAAAATAACTACAAGACAATTTACCTAAAGGTGGAATTTAAGAATATTCTCAAAATATCACTTTAACTACGTGTTTGATGTATCAAAATCATATACAAATTATATATAAGAGAGACTTTAAAAAAGGATCAAGTCTTTGTTCTATTCCTTGGTTTTGAGTTTAAGCGGTCGTAAATGTTGAATAGTGAAACTTTGTAGGCAAGACTCAAGAGTAGTTTCATTATGAAGAAAGAAAATAACTGTAAACGCTCTAAATGGAGTTGAGAAACTTGTATATAACAAGAACATCCCTATATATATGACACATATAAATGAAAAATTGGACAAGTTCTTTTCTACTATAGTATGGTAATCTAGTATAGTTGGGTTCATACATTTTGTAGATAAAAATTGGATACATGTTGTGGATTCTTAGGTCCATGTAGATAAACCTGCACTTTTCAATAGAGTGTGGTGAGAGATAGAGTTTCTTTCACCTCTTATGATGATTTCAAAAGTAGGAGGAGGGGACCATATTAAAAATGTAAAGATTCGAAGGATAATACCCATTAGAAAGTTGGACATCATTAGTAAATAGTGAGTGTTACCCAAAACATGGCACTACCTATGCATTGTTTCTGATTCTATATTACAGTTTTTCTTTATGTATTTTGGACGATTATGTTTTGTAATCACATAAATTTCAATTATAATTTTGCTACGTGACTCATCTTCCTCTATAATTCCTCTTAGTCAAATAGAGTTGGCTAACTAAACCTTTTATTTTAATCAAATTATTCCGTTTTTATCTTGTTTTAGTGCCAATCAAAAACACTCTAATAATTTTTACTCGTTTCTTACAAAGATATTAAGAATGATACAACATAAAAAAATGTTGTCTCCCTTTATCCGCAATTGTTCCTCAAAGAAGTAGCACTATAAATAGTCTCATCACCCAAAGACATAAACCCCAACACTCAAACCTCAACTGCTCTCCCATAACCGAAACCGAGAGAAAGAAAAATAGAAAAAGATGATTGAGACGGTTAAACACCTGATCGGCTCCGGTGGTCCCAGCGGATTCGGGTCAAGATCCACCGCCGATCATGTCACTTGTAATTCTGATCTCCGTTCTCTAACTGCCATCATCACTGGTGAGTATAGAGTTAAAGACTTAGAGTTGTCTCTTCTTTTTCAACTTCACTGAGTCGCAAAACAAGTTTCCTATCTAATAGACTCTCTGTTTCTTTTTATACTAGGCGCTACGTCGGGGATAGGAGCGGAGACAGCGCGTGTTCTTGCTAAGCGTGGAGCTCGACTTGTGCTTCCGGCTCGGAGCGTCAAAACCGCCGAGGAAACAAAAGCTCGTATCCTGGCGGAGTTTCCTGATGCGGAGATCATCGTTATGCATCTTGATCTCAGCTCACTTACCTCTGTCCGCCGATTCGTGGACGATTTCGAATCTCTCAATCTCCCACTCAACATCCTCATGTAACTTAAACTCTCGTCTTATAAATCCACACACAAAAGCAAAGAAGAAAATCTCCTAACCTTTTTGTTTTTAATGTTTTTGGTTTGTATCAGAAACAATGCCGGGAAATACGCGCATAAGCATGCCATCTCTGAGGACGGTGTGGAGATGACCTTTGCCACTAATTATCTCGGTAATTAAGTTTTCTTAAATCAATCATTGAATTGATAAATCATTTCATTAATTTAAATATTATATGTCCTCTAATAGTGATTTATGGGGTGCTTAATTAGGCCATTTTCTGCTGACGAAACTGCTGTTAAAGAAGATGATTGAAACGGCGGCACAAACCGGCGTGCAAGGCCGTATAGTCAACGTCACGTCCGTCATCCATAGCTGGTTTTCCGGTGATATGTTGCAATATCTCGCCGATATCTCGCGGAACAATAGGTAATCCATTTTAAATTAGTACTTGCTAGAAAAATCATTCCAATCATATAGCGAATAATTTAGTCATCATTGTTTAATAATAAGTACAAAAAGGTGATGCGACGACAAAAATAAACGCCGTCGTCCTCTCGTCTTTTTCCCGTTATTTAAATGATATTTTTGGAGAGAATAATAGATAATAAATACTTAAGGCTAGCCTTTTAACTTTGCGTTTTACAGAAATTACGATGCGACTCGAGCCTACGCTCTCTCCAAGCTCGCCAACGTGCTCCACACTCTTGAGCTTTCCCGGATTCTCCATGTACGTTTCTATACAAACTAACCCTTTATAATTTTGAATCTATTTTCTCTTTTAAAACAGAAATATATTTAGTAATCTCTACTCATTTGTAATAATAAACTAAACTATATTTGCAGAAAATGGATGCTAATGTGACGGCCAATTGTGTCCATCCTGGTATCGTGAGAACCCGTCTCACAAGAGATCGAGAAGGCATCGTCACAGACTTAGTGTTTTTCTTGACCTCCAAGCTATTGAAGTCTGTTCCTCAGGCAGCAGCTACGACATGTTACGTGGCAACAAGTCCGAGATTGAGGAACGTGTGTGGCAAGTACTTCTCAGACTGCAACGAAGCTAGGACATCTAAATTCGGGTCTTGCAATCTTAAAGCTCAGAGACTCTGGACTGCTTCTGACTTGTTGGTTTCTCCACCCAATTCCACTCCCGATCTTTCTCAAACGTCCTTTTAATCAACAACCATCCTAGCTATTTCTACGTGTATATCCCAAGCCCTCTATATAGTATAGTAATACCTTATAATTAATAGCTATAGCAATATACTATAGATGAATGGGCCAAACGTTCCTTTGTGTGTGTGCATATAAGCAAGCCTCCCTATATTTAATATGTGGTTATGGTTTGACATTATATATTGTTAATATATTAGTTGTAGGGTTTTGTAATCCTAGCTAGCTAGGTCCTTGTTATGTAATATATATATATATACATCATTCAAAACATTAAAAAATTTCATAATCTTGGTGTTCTTAGTTAAATTTGTTTATTTCTTCTGTTGATGAATGAAATGAAATCGAATCCACAAGACCACAAGCCAAATTTCGATTTGTCAACCACTCCTCAAATGGATCTTCCAGTCATACCATGTACCACCAATAATTACTGCTATAATAAAGGGCTTGTTATAGTAGGCCCATTAAATACTGACTTGGTCTTTGAAAGGCCCATGAAGCTAAGCCCTAGAGTCCTAGACCCTCCTCTCTCTTCTTCCTCCTCGGAGGCTAAAACCTCTCGGCTCCAGCAACCGCATTTGAGATCAAGCTCCGGCTGAAAATGGCGAATGCCCAGAAAGTCTTCACCGTCGAAACCCTAAGGTCTGCAGCCAAGCAGTCTCTCCGTTGCCTAGTCGTCCCCGTCCGTCTCCGCCGCGCGATTAAGAAATATCTTCGCGAAGAAGATGATCCTCACATAAGGAAGAAGGTGCGTCAGTTATCGGAATCATTCCAAGAGATCAAGGACACGAATCTTCAGTTACCTGAAACCACGGCCAAGAGTCTGGCTGATTCTATGAACTCGTTGGAGACCAAGCGATGGAAGATACAGACCGTTTATGGAGATAGCGGTCTCCAATACAGAGACGGTGAGACTGCTGCTTACATTGCTTCTCGTATGCCCGCCGTCTTCTCCGTCTGCTACAGAGTCCTCATCGAGGTACTTTCTACTTTAAGGTTTAAGTGAATGTTAGATCATGCTGATTAGTCCTGAGCTCTTGGAAGATGGGATAGTTGTGTAGAGAATTGAGATTTGTTAACTTCTTATATAGATTCGTAGAAGAGTACCGGGTTTTGCGCCTACAAGAGTGCTGGATTTTGGTGCTGGCACTGGCTCGGGTTTCTGGTGAGGAGATAGATGTTTCCCTATTAGCTTTGCTGCTTCTATTTTGTTCTTGATTCGTTGTAACATCTTTTAGGGCGGTTAAAGAGGTTTGGCCAAAGTCTGTGGAGAAAGTAAATATAGTGGAACCATCTCAATCAATGCAGCGTGCAGGACGTGACTTAATCCAGGGTAATTTCACTTTGATAGTCTCTGACAAAACACTACGTGCAGTGATTGATTCTGATCTTTACCATTTTTGTGAATATGAAAGGCCTCAAGGATTTACCTCTCATCCATGGGTATACTAGCCTGCTAGCTCTTAATAAAGAGATCAACAAAAAGTCTGAGAGGAAACATGATCTTGTCATCGCTGTGAGTTATCTCTTTTATCACTCGCACCAGCTGTGATTCTTGTTTACACGTTCTGATTTTTTACTGAATAAACTTTCCAAATGCTTTTCTGTTGTGATTAAGTCCTATGTGTTAGGGGAGATACCATCTCTGAAAGACAGGATTACTGTGGTTCGCCAGCTCTGGGACCTTACAGATGATCTCTTGGTATGGTTTTGAGTTTTATCATCCTTCATTCTCCTCAATCACTTCTTTTATACTAGAACGTGTTCTTCTCCTCAAATGTTATCCCTGTGTGCACTGTGCATTTTGATCTGCTGAATCCATTAAGCTTTATTATGAATTTCTTACAGAAATTTTGATTGGACAGGTTTTGATTGAACCAGGAACGCCACACGGTGCTAATATTATATCTCAGATGCGGTCCCATATACTGTGGATGGAGAAGAGGGTACTTTTCATTTGCTTACACATATCTTCATGCTTAAATAATGATCTGTTTCTGTTCTCAGACGTTATTTATTCCTCCTCTGCTTATTTTTAAGTATTCATTTTGTCTTAGAAACTGCGTAAACTGGAAAAGAAAATGAAGAAAGATGGTAAGGACGTGCTCGATCTCAAATCTGGTGCGCATATTGTTGCTCCAGTAAGTGTCAATATCCTTCCTCAAAAACTCTCCTTTCCAGTTATCAAACACTAGGTCATGAATTTGATGTACAGTTTCTATGAATATGATTACGTGAATGTATTGTAACACAAAGAAGGGGGTTGCAAATGCAGTGCCCTCATGATGGAAAGTGTCCGCTGGAAAACACTGGAAAGTACTGCCATTTTGTTCAGCGGTTGCAGAGAACTTCGTCTCAGCGTTCCTACAAGGTTCCTTAATTTTGCTTGGAGTTTTCTTCAGCAAATATATAGTATATATTAGTCAGCTCTATGTTTGCTGATGACTCCAAACCCAAAACTTTACTTTTGCAGCGTACAAAAGGTGTTCCCCTACGTGGGTTTGAGGATGAGAAGTTTTGTTTTGTGGCTTTCAGGAGAGGTCAGCGCCCACGGTTCGTAGTTTTGTAATGTTGAATGATTATTTTGATTACCTTTAGAGAAACGTTGTTAAGGAATTTGGCCTTCGATTTAGGGAGTTGTGGCCTCTTGACGGTATGAAGTTGGAGACATTGAAGGAGAGACGCGCAAATAAGAAACCCGAGGATCTGGAGGTTGATTATGGTAAGTCTGTGACTAATCTATGAAAACCATGCGCATAATCTAGCTTTTGACCCTTCTTTGTGCCCATTTGATATGTGCAGAGGACTTTATCAAATCACAGGTGGTTGAAGTGCCTTACATTGATCCAAGAGCATATGACTCCGACACCATGGATGATGAGGAGGAGGAACAAGAAGACGGTGAAGGTACCGATGAGGACGACGAAGACAAGATTGAAGAAGAAATTGAAGAGGAAGAGGAGAGTGAGAGGGCGAGTGTGGGAGGGGGATGGGGAAGAATCATATTCCCTCCATTCCGCAAAGGGAAACAAGTGACGTTGGATATGTGTGTGCCAACCAAAGAGGACGGGTCAGAGGGAGCATTCGAAAGGAGAGTGATAACTAAAAGCAAGAACCCGGATCTTCATTTGCAGGCCAAGAAATCCTTTTGGGGAGACTTATGGCCTCTCACGACTCAACAAGAAAGTGGCAAAGAGAGGCAAGTAGATGCTGAGTGGTGTCGCCCGGATCAAGACCAGAAATGGGGTAGTTGGCCATAAGAGTCTTTTCATAAGAGTTAAGGATTCATTGTCATCCATGTAAAATCCTGACTTGGTCAAGTGTTAAAAGGCATTGCCCATAGAGAAGAAACAGACGAATTGTAGTTACAATTCTGAAAAAAATAACAATATTGACACATTGGGGCTTAGAGCACAAAAACAAAATCACACCATACATATTACCAACAACTAACAGTGCACAAGACATCTTTTCAATATCTGTGTAATGTGTATACATATATTACTCCTAAGTAACAAATAAAAGAATCCTATCTAATAACTTGTCTATGCCTTTTAGACCCGAACAGGCAAACCATAGTTGTGGAATACTCTGATCCTTCCATCCCAAGTCGCTGTCACAATCACAAGCCCCCACAGGTGAGGCTGCCATACACTCCTCAAAAGCTTAAGCTTCCCTCTGTTGCTCATTACAACATCTTCCAGCTTCTCTTCAGGCCACGTTGTTGATCCTTTCATTGGAGAGAAACAGTCCACTTTCGGTATCTTTCTGTCCAAATCTGTGATACACTCGGACAGACCATCCCTACTTCCTTGTCTGAGCCAAGGAATAGCCACAGATGCATTGTGCGAGAGAAAGCCCTCGTAAGACCGGATGCTTTTCGGTGTTTCTGAATACAGCTTCTTGCTGGGTAATTGAGAGTAGCTCCAGACATTAATGTATGAATCCTCTGATGTTGAGATGATGTGTTTACCGTCTGAAATAAATGAAGCAGATGTTGTGCGAAGGCTAGAAGCTGCAAGCGCAAAAGAAAGTTACAATCGTCAATCTTAAATAAGACAAATGCAATCATTCATCTGCAGTTATGAACAGATGCTGACCTTTAAGCTTGCAGATGACATCATCTCCGCATAAGATGCGTATCTGTGAATCGGCAGAAGTAACCATTACTTTGTACGAGTCAGTGTCACTGGGAAGAAATTGAAGACCACTTATCCTTTTGCTTGTAACCTTCTTCTTCCCATGGACGTTGATCTCTTGGTCCATTTGCAGCTGATTATCTGAGGTACACAATATGAAGAATAATAAGCTCCAACCAACTATTGCATCTGTTCAAAATTTGTCATTAAGCAATGATCTCAATCTCGAATTGTGAGAAGATAAACGTACCGAATATATGGTAGAAGCGGCAGTTCCCTGTCATGGAACCTATTACTGCACCCTGCAAAACTCTAGAGTAAGCAGCTGTTCATAAGACAATTTAAGGAAAACTAAAATCTTTCAAATTACCTTTGCATCTGGACGATAGCACACAGCTGTTACAATGTCTCTTATGTCTGTGTAGTCAACAACCCGGCAACGAGTCACATCCCATATTCGAACTTTCCCATCAATCGATCCGCTTATAAAATAATTATCGTCCACAGGGTTAAATGCCACACAAGTCACTGCGTAAGAAGAAGAGGGAGAAGGTGTGAGTGAGTACTGAGTACACAGCAAAAGAAAAAGAATAATAAAAGTACCAAAGGCAGCATTGTAGAAGAAGCTCACCGAAATTGTTATGAGTGAACGTTCTGAGACATTCATCACAACCTACTCTCCATAAACGAACAGTCTCGTCGACAGAAGATGACAAGAGATACTGCAGCAAAGAGGGGTAAATGTAAGAGGATGTACACAATCAAAGACTATATAAATGTAGGAAGAGTTTGAAAAGATGTTTACCCCTTTCTCCGACCAGGAAAGATCCAAGATCTCACCTATATGTCCTCTGAACTCATGCAGAGGCTTCTCCAATATACTGAAGATGGTAGGAGGTAACACTACACAAGTTGAGTCCGATGACTTCCTCAAAAAACTTGTCTTCTTTTCGGATTTCTCATTGTTGATCTTCAGGGGCTCAATCTGAGAATGTTGATTCATCCCAAAGTAAACACCAGAATCAACCTCAGCTACTTCGTACTTGTCTGTTCTCTCTTCCTCGGTTATACTCCAAACTCGAACAACACCGTCTTCACCAGCGCTTGCAATGTATTTCCCATCAGGAGAAAACTTCATGGCTAAG